AAAAAAAAAAAAAAAAAAGGTATGGTAGTTAAGATATGAACTCCAGAACAAAGGAAACAACAAAGATAAAAGGAAAATCTAAAAGACTTATAGAAACCATATAATATAATGTATGAATGTTTATGAAGTAATCAAGAAAATGTGAACACTTTGATATTTAGTAAAAAAAATTAACAGTAGTAAAAAAAATTAACAGTAAAAAAAATTAATAGCACAGTAGTTACATTTTCAAAAAGACATCTTATCTTGTAGAGATTCCTATAGAAATGTATGAATGAGCCTGATGCGGTGGCTCACACCTGTAATCCCAGCACTTTGGGAGGCTGAGGTGGGCGGATCACCTGAGGTCAGGAGTTCAAGACCAGCCTGACCAATATGGTGAAATCCTATCTTTAAAAAAAAATAAAATAAAATAAATAAATAAAAGAAATGTATGAATGAATGTATGTCTAGGATCTGTTTCAAAATAATCCAGATAGAGGACAAGTGACTGGAGGCATGGATGAAATAACATAGTCCATCGGCTAATACTGAAGTGATGCGGTAAGTGTTCATTTTACTATTTTACTCCTACATACGTTTGACATCTTCCATAGTAAAAAAAAAAAAAATTTGTTGAGAGTCTTGCTCTATTTCCCAGGCTGGAGTGCCGTGGTGTGAGCTCAGGTCGCTGCAAACCGCCTCCTGGGTTCAAGTGATTCTCGTGACTCAGCCTCCTGAGTAGCTGGGACTATAGGCACACATCACCAGACCCGGCTAATTTTTGTATTTTGTGTAGAAACAGGGTTTCACCATGTTCGCCAGACTGGTCTTGAACTCTTGACTTCAAATGATTCACTCACCTCGGCTTCTTGAAGTACTGGGATTACAGGCGTGAGTCACTGTACCCAGCCCAAAAGTTAATTTTTAAATGATATTATCTAATTTGGGCATATCTCCGAAGTTCATAAACACAGAGACGTTAATATAGTAAAATTAATTTTACTGCCATGTATTTACTTTAAAAAAGGCTTCTTAGTATTTACATCCATAAAAACAAACAAAAGCACAAAAATTAACATTGTCTAATTTTAGCAATTTATTCAAGAAAACTGAAAAACAGCACCATCTATCTCATTTAAAGACATATTTCCAATATAATTTAAATACACTAAAATTGTTTTGGTCAATTAGGTACTAAAAACAACTTTAATGATAAGTCAATTGAGGAGAATTTGTCATAGAATTCTTTAAAATATTTTAAAGTTTCTTTTATATATGCATTTTTGTTACAAATAAAAAATTCTTAACTATACCATATATTATTAAGATACACTTCTGAGGGGAAAATAAAAATAGTAAAACAAGCTCAAAGAAAAAAGAATAATGTAAAATTTCCAAATCCTGAATTGGTATTTTTTTTAACAGGACAGTAGTTATCACATTGCTATGCTATTTAGATCTCATTAATACATTTAAAAATAACACAATTTTACATTGAAAAAAATTTCTTAATGTCACCTACCGATGTCCAGAGGGGTATATTATTTTCAAAATTCTTACAGCGTTTTCAAAAGTTTAAAAACTCTTTCCTAGGGGACATCTTCTTAATCTTTTTTAAGCTTTATGTGTACATCTTTTCTATGTTGTATTTTGTTTAAAGGGAATATTAGGCCAGACCTAATGGCTCATGCCTGTAATTCCAGTATTTTGGGAGGCTGAGGTGGGAGGATCATTTGAGCCCAGGAATTTGAGACAAGCCTGGGTAATGTGGTGAAACCTCGTCTCTACAAAAAAAATTGAAAAATCAAGCCAGGAGTGGTAGTGTATGCTTGTTGTTTCAGCTACTTGGAAGAAGGCTGAGATGGGAGATCACCTGAGCCTGGGGAGGTAGAGACTGCAGTAAGCTGTGATCATGCTACTGCACTCCAGCCTGGTCATCAGAGGGAGACCCTATCTCAAACCAAAAAAAAAAAACGATAACATACAAACTTCTTGGCTGAGCACAGTGGTTCATGCCTGTAATCCCAGCACTTTGGGAGGCCAAGGCAGGTGGATCACCTGAGAGCAGTAGTTCAAGACGACCCTGACCAACATGGTGAAACCCCGTCTCTGTGAAAAATACAAAAATTAGCTGGGTATGGTTGGCAAGTGCCTGTAATCCCAACTACTTGGAAGGCTGAGACAGGAAAATCATTTGCACCTGGAAGGCGGAGGTTGCAATGAGCTGAGATCGTGCCATTGCGCTCCAGCCTTGGCAACAGAGAGACTCTGTCTCAAAAAAAAAAATAAAATAAAAAAACTTCTTAATTTCAAATAGAAATTTCAGCATACTAAGTACCAAAGCGGTTCCAAATAAATCTGCATGCTCACATTAGCGTAACTCTTATCTCGGCACGTGCTTCTTCCCAGTTAGGGCTAGATCCCTCCAAAAGACAATACATTAAGTTTTTGTGATTCTCAACAATAGGTACTGACCTTGACAATTCAGTTTTAGGCTTTATTCAAAAGTTACTTGTGAACTAAAATTGTGAGTATAAAAATAACTTTTTAAAGGAATGGATAAACGTAGAAACTCTTAGCAAGTAGAGAAACCAGAGTCATGGGCATCCCCTAGTGAGTTGCCTCACCTCACAGGAACTGGTACTGTCAACCCTAGTTACTTACAGTGTAGCTAAGCTTTTAAGAAAGAAAAGGAGAAGAAGAAAAAGCAGTTATTATCACACGCTTCTTACCAGCTATGATTGTTGTTGCTTGTCGCCTCACATTATTTTTATCCATGTATTCACCATAGTCTATTTTCCCTTCCACATAAATTCGAGACCTGATATAAATAAAATTTAGTTTTTAGCTGAGATCCTAATACGTTTTATAAGACTCAGGTCAGGGTGATACTGAGTACATGACAAGGATGAAATATATAATCATACATAATCTCATTTTTGCTACCACTTCTAAAGGTTCAGGATTAGGAGTACTGAAACAGTGTACAAACAGACTGGATAACATATAGATAAAACAAACAATGTTTTCATCTGTCAGCTATTCCCCTTATGGAAGTCAAAAATTAAAACAGTTCAGAGAGCAACTTAGCGGCAACTTTTAAATCTCTAGGAATAATTTCCAGTGTATCATTTTCCTTAATCTTTGATTTTGGAGTCCCCAGCACACTTGATTTTCATTTACTTACCAATTCTTTTCTATAGTGAGGTTCATGACCTTAGAAACTTAGATGATTAAAATTCAAAATATGGATTTACAGCTTAGTATAATATTACTAAAACTATTTCTACACTGTATCAGCTTAGTATACCATTTAGAGGTAAATACTAAGACTATCTCTACACTATCTTGAAGGCTAAACTAGATAACAAACCTAACCATGATTTTCAAGGGTGGAAAAATGACAATAGCACCAGTTTTGAGAGTCTGCAGCACCAAAAAAGTACAACACAGAAAGATTAGTAAAATGTCAAGTGCTCCCCACCCCCCACACAAATCCATCAATCAGTAAGTGGGAGTGCAGACACTTACCTTGAAATACCTTATATGTGTTTGTGTGTATGTGCACATACTCACAAACACATACATAAAGGACAATGAAGATACATATGAAGAAAAGCTAATCAGTTATTGAAAAGAAAAATTTCAGTGATTGCTATTTTTCATGAAATTTGTTTTATTTCTAAAACAAGTATACTTCTAAACATATTAACTATTAATACAACTGCTGTTACACACACCATGTTGTCCTTCCATGAGTTTGGAAAAGATGCCTTTTATACATACTCAATTCACGCATTCCCAAGGGAACTATGAAGCCTATAGAAACACATCAAATATGACGCTGGGTGCGGTGGCTCACGCCTGTAATCCCAGCACTTTGGGAGGCTCAGGCAGGTGGATCAACTGAGGTCAGGAGTTCAAGACCAGCCTGGCCAATATGGTGAAACTCCATCTCTACTAAAATACAAAAAAATAGCCAGGTGTGGTGGTGGGTGCCTGTAATCCCAGCTACTCAGGAAGCTGAGGAAGCAGAATTGCTTGAACCCAAGGGGTGGAGGCTGCAATGAGCCGAGATTGCGCCATTGCACTCCAGCCTCGGCAACAAGAGTGAAACTCTGCCTCAAAAACAAAAAAAAGAAAAAGAAAAAAGAAAATCAACTATAAAATAACTGCCATGAAGATTAAGTCAGTGTCAGGCTTCAGACATTCCAGATCCTCTGCTGGAAACGTCGTATGGATGCCAACAGGCAAGAAGCCACCCTCAGCATCCCTGGTCACAGAGGCACAGGAACTCCTAAAAGCATGCTACATCATTTGCTCATATGGCACTTGATACACTTTGCCTTCTCTCCTGCCTCACCTATTTCTATTTATGTACACACCTTGTTTGCCCTGAACTCTAAGTTCTTAGAAAGCTAAAAATATGTTTTTTATACCTTTGAATTAGTCACACATGGCAACATGCCATGCATATTGTATCAAGGACTTAATAAATACCTCTTAAATTAATAGAGTCACTAGTAGTACTCAGGGATTTAAGAGGCTACACACTCCTTGCCATGAGAACACTTCCTATCAGTTCTTTTAACCATTCAATCCATAAGATCCTTCCTTCTTCAACTTACCCCTTTCTCACATACTGATATGCCACATCTCTGAGGCCTGGCCGGAATACTGATATTCTGTGCCACGTTGTCTTTTGACTGACATCGCCTAAATCATAAGAATAGGAAATTGGTTACAAATGCCAACAGACAACATGCTCAGGAAAGCCAATGTCACAATTTCTAAGAGAACAAACAGAATGAAAGACAGATCTTGTTTAAAGTGGTTTATCTCTAAATTAGATAACTGGCAATAAATAATGTCTATTTATTGCTGATAAAATTAAAACCCCAGTCTTTTCTACTCACCCATTTGGTAAGCTTCACTTTCCCCTGATCGCCACATCTCATTTGTTGCTAGAGAAAATATTGTGACTGGATTTTTTCCTTCCGCCTGTCTCAAGACAGGGTCCTGACCCACTCGCCCAAGTAACTGCACACGATTCAGGGCTGAAATGCAACATCAAGACCAAATGAGACAGAGAACCTGCTATAGACTGAATATTTGTGCTCCTTCCCCCAAAATTTGTATGTTGAAGCCCTAACCCTCAAGGTGATGGTACTTGGAGGTGGGAGTCCTTAAAAGGTAATTAGGCTTAGATGACATCATGATGGTCAGGTGTCCATACAGAAAAAGGAAGAGTTCAGAACTTTCTGTCTCTACCATGTGAAAACACAGTAAGAAGCAGACCATCTGCAAGCAAGGAAGAGGGCCCTCACCAAAAGCCCAGTCTTACTGGCACACTAATCTTGGACTTTTAGCCTCCAGAACTGAGAGAAATAAATGCTGTTGGCTAAGCCACCTGGTCTATGGTATTATCTTATAGCAGCCTATAAGCTGACCATTAAAGAAATCCACACCTATGATTGAAAGAAATGTCCAGAAGAAATACTATAAATATTACTTCAACTTCAATCTCTGTATTAAGTAAAACTCAAGTTCTAGAAGATCAGAAAATAAGGGATGAATACGGAAAGGTTACAAGAGAAAAGAGAGTTGACAAGAAAGAAGAAAATAGTCAGAGAAAGCAGCCCCACAAAACAAACTGTAAGCTCTATATCTTAAATTCTTTTTTAAGATATCTTTTTTAACTGACTGTGGAACAAAAAGAACAAATCTGAGATCTGAAAATCTTTATAAATACAAGGGAATATTTCTGTAAAGACACAATATCTTTTACAATCTCGGCCTGCAATAACATAACCTGGGAAGACTCAGATAACCAAACATGACTCAGGAAATTCTTATGCAGAACAGTAATGATGAGAATGAGTAGTCACTGGCTGATAAGAATAGGGGCTCAGTTTATACTATGTGTCCACAGCCTGATGGGTCATAACCAAGATCTGAAGAGCAAATGTGAGCTAAAGGCACAATAACATGGTTAACCTAACCAGCATACCTCTTCTACAGCACATCTGAGATCAGCAAATTGCCAAAAATAACATTTTAAACTTGGAAATTAGCTACTCACATCTTTCAAGAATCAAACTGGCAGCTGCTTCGGACGCATGTCTTACAGACTGATGAAGTACCTACGAAGAACAAATGAATAACATGGCTTTAATTTTTTAGTTAAGGCAAATGCCAACAGAAGAATTACTCACATTCATTCACCATTTAGTCAGTAGTTCCTATAAATTCCAGAAGAGACGAGAAGTTCTTCCCATGTTCTCCCAACAGAGTGCCAGAAGGACGAGGCAAACACTTCAAGAGCAGCATGCTGCAGAAGTCCAAAGGCACAAGGAAGGTACTAGAAGCCATGCTCAAGAGTTAATTTATAGTCCTCCTGTTTCTTTTGCAACAATCTTCCTGATTATGGCACTTCTGTGTTCACACACAGAAGGAAAAATCAAAACAGTAGCACTTTAACATTACAGAGTATGAAAATGTTTTTAATCTAACGTGTACCTAAGAGTTGCTGCCAAGTATTTTCAGAATCCAGCTTTCATTAGCTGGAGAGACAAAATGTACTATACATATCCAATACATACATCACCTTTTTTTTTCTTTTTTTTTTAATATAAACAACTGGTATATTATTGCTATATATTATTGCTATATTTTGGTTATAGACTTTAGAAATTAAGAAATTTAGATCCAATATGGGTACTGATTTAATCCATCATTAAACCAAAGGAGACTTAAAGAGATGTTTTATAATAAATAATTTAATAAACAGATTAATAACATATGCAATAATCTAACAGGTGTCAGGAGGTGTGGAATAAATACAATGGCATTACTTAAGCCTCACTCTCAGCCATAATGAACAGCTAGTTTAGAGTGGGGTCCCTAACCTCCAGGGCCGAGGACTAGCAGAGGTCTGTGGCCTTTTAGAAACTGGGCTGCAAAGCAGGCAGTGAGCGGCAAGCATTACTGACTGAGCTCTGTCTCCTGTCAGATCAGCAGCGGCGTTAGATTCCCCTGGAGTGCAAACCCCATTATGAACTGCACATGCAAGGGATCTAGGTTGTGTGCTCCTTATGTGAATCTAACTAATGCTTGATGCTCTGAGGTGAAACGGTTTCATCCTGAAACCATCCTTGCAGCACCCTCCTCCTCCATGGAAGAACTGTCTTCCATGAGACCAGTCCTTGGTGCCTAAAAGGTTGGGGACTGCTGGTTTAGAGAATGAGAAATAGGTTAAATTCCAACAAAACAATACATTATTAAACTAATCACATGAATGACTTTCTGACATGGGAACAGGAACATATTCCAAAATCAGACCCTGTGTCTATGAAACTGCCTTCCCCTGGTTGCTCATTCAGAACTTTAAGGGAATTAGGATACATCAAATATGATTAACCTGAAGCGTTTCATTTCAAAATAAGCAAAAATTATGATAGTCAATATCTACTTCATAAGGCTATTTCAAAAATTAAACAGCTTCTGCAGTGAAGTTAGCCTAATATAGTTTCTATAAATATTTCATGGGAAATTTCATTCCTTCAGTGCATCCAAAAAAAGGTCTAATAAATTTGGTTCTTTGATTAAACACAAAGATTCAACTGTCCAAGTCAAAGTCATATCATTGTCAGAAAAGGCAGTCACTACCACATAATAGCAACAATCATTACTGAATATCAGCTAAGAAATTTATCTATTATCAATTCTAAAACCAAATGTAAAAGTATCCCCATTTAGAGCTGAGAAAACAACCTCAGAGAGACTGCAGAACTTGCCCAAGATCCTGCAGGAAGTATGTGGCAAGTGATCTCAAGGACCCAGGGCCCTCTGGCACCAATGTTACTGCTTTCCCAAAGCCCTCTGCTGCCTCCTTAATTTCAAGAGCCACTGTAAAGATAGGAGTACACACCACTGAATTCAGAGTACAGAGAGCTAGCCATTCTATTAGATAAACATTTTCAAAGTGGCAATACTGTTAATATAAAAAGCACAAGTCTACCAATCAAATAAACACCAACTCCCTGGGTACTGCTGGCTACCTAATCCTATCACTAAACTTAGGGGCAGAGGGTGGATAAGAAAATAAAGATATGAGTACAACATTCTATAGAATCAAACTGCTAACTAGAACCTGTGTCATGATTATGGGAATGTACTCATTTGAGTGCTCAGACAAGCTATACCTCATAAATCTTACACAGTAACAATGTCTCATTTTGGGCACACAAAAATCAAGACGTACTGGAGAGGATTAGGAAAGGATTATTTGGATAATTTTTTAAATTAAACTTTTGACTTTCATTCAAAGACATTTTAATACTGTAACATTAGTGTTATTGAAAAATAACTTTTTCATGTTTCACATTTCAATACAGAAAAATTAGATTAAAGATACATATAAGTTAAAGAGGGGATCAAAGAATATAAGATTAAGGTGGGGAAAATGATAGCATCATGGAGGAAGTGATTCTTCATTGGTCTTCACAGAAGGATAGGGAGTAGGAGAGAAGTATGATAAAGAATTTGCTGCCCAAATGTGTTAAGGAAAAATGGTAGTCTACGCCGGCTCAAGGTGGGCTAGAGTGACTGGAAAAGTGAGGAGCCAGATTAAGTGGAATGAGAAGGAATTTTCTACATAGTGAAATCTGTGGTGACCATTGAGATGTGAGCTGCCTTCTTCAGTGTGGAAAGATAGGGGAAGAGGAACGTTTAGCAACACAGGAGGTAGATGGTCAAAAAAGCAACTACATGTCTTAAAAAAAAAGTTGGAATGATGATTCCTATAGTCCTTAGGTCACTAAAGATCTTTAATCTCCTATCACTGGTGAAATTCAAGCAACACACGTTTTAAAAATTAATGATTCCTATTACATTATGTGAATAAACCTCAACTTTTTTTTTAGTGAACATAATTTACACTGGAAAAATCCATCCCCAGTCCTCCATATCAAACGAATACAGAGGTGGGTGGGTGAGCTCCCAGGTCTTTTGCCCCTGTAGTTAAAAGCCTAAAGATGTCTGATCACTGTGTCTGACAGTAATACATCTCAATACAGACAAGTGACTACCTGTAATACAGGTCTTCGAAACATGGCTTCTATTTTCTTTTCTTACAGTCTAATCTTTAGGCTGTTCCTGAAGGGAAAAAAAAAAGAAGAAAGAAACATTACATCTTATGGCAAAAGCAATTTTGCCACCACAACATACCAACATTCCTGCACACCTGGTGAGAATTCCTTCCTCCCGCCCAAATACACTCACACCTGTTATGTCTTTTTGGTCCCAAATAACTTCCTCTTTCTCCAACCCATGCACACAATTTTGATTCTGAGTTAATCCCACTTCCAATCCACTGTCTTCTCAAATTTCATTACAATGCAAGCTCCCTTAGGGCAGAGATTTTTATCTGCTTTATTCACTGCCATTTTCTAAACTTCTAAAAAAAAGTTCTTAACGCATAGTGGGGGCTCAATAAATATTAGCGTCACCAAGGGACTTATATCTGAAACCTGTTGCTGAAAAATTACTGCCTTCATCTCCGTTAACAAACGCCAAGCAGCGTAGAAACCCCCGGGTTACCCAGCCACACGGTCGGGGGAGACCGATGCCCTTTCCTGGAGGTGGCGCCACCCTGAAAACCGAGAACTGGGAGGAAACCACGCTGTCCTCCGCACAACTGAGAAGGAAAGGGCCACACACCTACACAGAACCAACTCCCGATCCACGCAGGATCGCGCGCAGCCAAAACACACGACTCCAGCACTTCTTTCACGTCTGCCCTCTCTGCCTCCCTCACCTGACGCTCTAACCCGGCAAGTCAGGGGATCACTTCCGGGGCACAGGGAACGCGAAGCTGGCGAGATGAAAAGGGAAAGAGAAACTCCGCAACGTGCGCCTTGGAAATACTGCCGGCCAGCTCTGTGGGAAACGCCTCCCCTTAACTCTGAAGTTCCGCGAGCTTCTCTTTGGGCCCGCGAGGATGGATCAACGCCGCCAAGTGGTAAATTTGGAAAGTTTCAAGTTTCGAATGAAATGAAATTACGTGATGAGGTTCCTCACCGGGCCCGGGAGGGGGCGAGATAGGCAAAACAGAATAGCTCTGCCTGGTGGGGAAAAAAAGCAAAAGATTGATGACAGGCCTAGTCGACAAAGTGCGGCCTGTCTCTCCAAAAAATATAAAAATTAGCTGGGCGTGGTGGCGCGCGCCGGTGGTCCAAGCTACTCGGAAGGCTGAGGTGGGGGGAATCACCTGAGCCCGGGAAGTCGAGGCTGCAGTGAGCCCAGATCGCGCCTCTGCACTCCAACCTGGGCAACAGAGTGAGACTCTGTCTCAAAAAAAAAAAAAAAAAAAAAAAAAAAGGAAGAAAGGAAGGAGAGGAAAGGAGGGAGGGAGGAATAAGGAAGAAAAGAAGGAAGAAGGAAAAGGAAGGAGAGAAAAATGTGAAGGGAGGGAGGGAGGGAGGAAGAAGGAAGGAAGGAGAGAGAAATGTGAAGGGAGGGAGGGAAGAAGGGAGGAAGAAAGGAGGGAGAAATGAGGGAGGGAAGGAGGGAGGGTGGGAGGGAAAATTTCCCAGGCCTGTTAAAGCACTAGAAAAGCAGAAAAAGAAAGGGGAGCCAGGGAAGGGCTGACAAATTGTGAAATTTAAGGGAACACCAGAAAAACTGGTAATCAAATAATATTTGAATGTAATATTTTAAAACATAAAAATGCAAGAAATCCAGGAGGAACAAAACAAGAGTCATGTGTAGCTTAACAGGGAAAGGCCTGAGGAATGAGTCATTAGGCGATTTTGTTTCTGTGTGCACAACATAGAATGTACTTTCACAACCTAGATGGTAAAGCTTGCTACACAGCTAGGCTGTGTGGTGTGGCCTGTTGCTTCCAGGCTGCAAACCTGAACAGCATGGGACTGTACTGAATAGCAGACCATTGTAATACATGGTAAGTATTTGTGTGTCTAAACATATGTACACATGGAAAATGTACAGTACAAATACAGTATAAAAAATTAAAATGGTACACCGGTATGGGGCACTTAGCATAAATGGAGCTTGCAGAACTGGAAGTTGCTGTGGGTGAGTGAGTGGTGACTGAACATGAAGGCCTAGGACATTACTGTACCTCACTAAACACTTCATAAACACTATACACTTAGGCTACACTAACTTTATAAAAAATATTTTTCTTCCTTCAGTAATAAATTAACTTTAGCTTACTATAACTTTATAAATCTTTAAAAAAAAATTTTTTTTAGACGAAGTTTCACACTTGTTGCCCAGGCTGGAGTGCAATGGCGCTCAGCTCACTACAACCCCAGCCTCCTAGGTTGAAGTGATTCTCCTGCCTCAGCCTCCCAAGTAGCTGGGATTACAGGCGTGCCCCACCACGCCCAGCTAATTTTGTATTTTTTAGTAGAGACGGGGTTTCTCCGTGTTGGTCAGGCTGGTCTCGAACTCCTGACCTCAGGTGATCCGTACCCCCCTCATGCTGGGATTACAGGCAGGAGCCACTGCACCCAGCCAAATCTTTTAATATTTGTTATGCTTTAACTGTTTTGTAATAACAATTAGCTTAAAACACACACTGTACCACTGTACAAAAGTATTTTTCTTATATCCTTATTTTATAAGCTTTTTTTCTACCTTTGCTTTTTTTTCCTTAACTTTTCAACCTTTTTTAAAAAACTAAGACATAAACACACACATTAGCCTAAGCCTACAAAGGGTCATTATGATCAATCTCAGCCTTCCACCTCCACGTCTTGTCCCACTGGAAGGTCTTCAGAGGCAGTGACACACAGGGAGCTATCATCTCCTGTGATAACAATGCCTTCTTCTGGAATCCCTCCTGAAGGACCTGCTCGAGGCTGTTTTACAGTTAACTCTTTTAAAATAAGTTAATAAAAAGTATAGTGAATACATAAACCAGTGACATAGTCATTATTATCAAGTAACACGAGTAATACATTGCATTCTGATGTTTTAGCACGTACGATGTCACTAGACAATAAGAATTTTTCAACTCCATTGTAATCTTATGGGACCGCTGTTGTATATGCACTGTTGTAAATGCAGTCTTTTTCCAAAACATCATTACACAGTGCATGACTGTATTAACATTGTAACTGAACACAGGATCCAAGCCGCATTAGAGCCTGAGGCACAAGGAGGAATGTGCACCCCTACGTGTATGTGTTTCTGTATTTTTTTAAATTGGGGCTAGGAAGGTTACTGGGGGGCTGAAGGGAAGGTGGGGGTCGTTAGTGGGTACAAAAGAGAATAAATAAGACATACTATTTTGTTTGTTTATATATATAGTTTATTGCACTTTAGGTTCTGGGGTACCTATGCAGAATATACAGGATTGTTGCATAGGTACCTACATGACAATATGGTTTGCCACCTCCATCCCCCCGTCACCTATATCTGGCATTTCTCCCCATGTTATCCCTCCCCAACCTCCCTACCCACCGCTTTCCCTCTCCTATTCCCCCACAACAGACCCCAGTGTGTGATGCTCCCTTCCCTGTGTCCATGTGTTCTCATTGTTCAACACCTGCCTATGAGTGAGAACATGCGAAGACCTACTACTTTTTATGGCACAATAGGGAGACTATAGTCAATAATTACTTAATTGTACATTTTAAAATAGCTTGAGTGTCATTGGATTGTGTATAACTCAAACCATAAATGCTTAAGAGGACAGACACCCCATCCCCCGTGATGTGCATAATTCATGTTACAGGCCTGTATCAAGACATCTAATGCACCCCATAAATATATATACCTACTTTGTACCCACAAAACTTAAAAAAGACAAAAACAAAAAAATTTTTAATTAAAAAAATTTTGGCCAGGTCCAGTAGTAGCTCACATCTGCAATCCCAGCACTTTGGGAGGTTGAGGTAGGTGGATCACTTGATCCTAGGAGTTCAAAATCAGCTTGGGGAACATGGTGAAACCTTGTCTCTACAAAAGATGAAAAAATTATCTGTGTATAGTGGTATGTGCTTGTAGCCCCAGATACTAGGGAGGCTGAAGTGGGAGGATAGCTTGAGCCTGGGAGCTTGAGCCTTCAGTGAGCCATGATCACACCACTACACTCAAGCCTGTGCAACAGAGTGAGGCCCCGCCTCAAAAAAAAAAAAAAAAAAAAAAAAAAAAAAAAAAAAAAAAAAAAAAAAAATATATATATATATATATATATATATGTGTATGTATATATATATATATATATAAATCAATATATATATACATACCAATATATATACACATATATTTCCAGAACATTAAAGTAGTTGAAGTATTGGAAAGAAAATTTTTAAAGTAGATATAACAACAAAAAAAAAACAGAATTGTATTAATAAAAACCTTCCCCCAAACTGAGAGGAAGCCAAGAAACCAAAGAATGACCCAGACAAGTCCAGCTTGGCGAGTAGATGAGTTTATCAGGATTTACATATGAGGCACTCCCGGAAGGCAGCAGGACAGCTGTAGAGATCCACCTGGCCTCTCATCCCTAAGATACTTGTAAGCTAATTTTCTGGCTTTTTGCCTGCTGTGTGTATGTGATGGAACTGTTTTCTTTGGCAGGTTCTCAGATATTCTCTGGGATATTTGGCTTGTCAGAAACACCTGCTCCTTGGCTGGTCACCATGATCTTGGCACATGGCCTGGCCTTCAGGATTCAGGCAGTGGACATACACTCTTTAGTAGCCAGGGAGGACCCGTCACACTACAGGTATATTAAAATTCACAACATTGTTTTAAGTTTAAATATTTATGCCAAGATGGAATTTAATATAACTTTACTCTTCATGGAAGTAAACTGATCAGTAATGTTTTCAAATCTACTTCTTTCTTGTTTTGAGAGAATTGCCATGTCTCACAATTTTTCTTGACCAAGTAACAATCTTAAGTAATTTTAATTAGCTTACTGATCTTGTCTTTATTTAAAATCTTGGTATTTATTCATCTTGAATTTTTTTCATTAGTTTTAGAATATTTTACTAAAGTGTCACAAATCCTGATTGCTGAGTTTCTTGGTGCCCCTTAAATTCTGTCTAATTCATGCTAAGAATCTGGGAATCTAGAAGGATGCTCAAAGAGGCCTAAAAATTTTTTTAATTGAGGACTTAGAATAGTGACTCCAATATATTTTTGTATCAGAGATTCTGTTTCAGAAACCTAAATTTTGCATTTTGATGAGGAAGCCCTGAAACCTCTCCATAGGATACACACACATACACACACACACACACACACACACACACACACACACACACACACTGTAGTTTGGCCCAGTTTATTTCTCCCTGAATTAAAAGGCTTACAGCTATACGAATCCATTGGTAGAGACCAGGACTGGCAATGCTTTACCATAAATAGAAAGCTTTGGACAGTTTTGCTGTAAATTATCCATTTTTAAAGAAATTTTAATCAGATTTTTACTTTGATTTTAAATTATCTTTTCTAAAGCCTCATAACTGCTAAAAAATTACAGCACTTATTACCTACACTGATTAACAAGAGCGAAACTCCGTCTCAAACAAAAAAAAAAAGAGAATGTTTCAAAAGCAATTTAACAACACTTGTTATTATGGCTATTTTTTAAATTAAAACAACACACGACAATTTTTATGTAATTCAAGATTGAAAATATGGTTCATCTAGAGATATAAAGCCATAGTTGTTCAGGCTAAAAGGTTCATATCTTTCAATATTCATCTTTCTACAGCTTTCAATAAATGGCCTCTCTAAATTGGTACATGTCTTAGAGTTTAGACCAGTAAAGCTCAGTAGTATTTCTCTAGATCTCAAGACTATCTTTTGGTACCTTAATGTAACATATTTTCTAAAGTATTAAATTTATCATCTTTAGTGTTACCAGCCCAATGATGTTAATGAAATAATTGTGATAATTAGTTACTGAGTTATATCATGACCTCTGTGCAAAAATAAAACTTACTGAGATAAGTGTCTAACTGAAATGGAAGGGATGAAATGCCAAGGCCA